CTCATTTCTGACTCCTGCATTGTCCAATGATCAGTTACAGTTGTTTTCTGTTGTTTTTGTTCTTAAATCACCACTTCTGAGTTTTTCTTTTAAGACCTTTTCAGATGTTGCCTTTCATCTGGTCATTCTCAGAGATTAACCCTTTGTCCCACTATCAGAGGTGGAAAGAACCCAGAGCTGGAGAGGGTGTTGGTTAACTTCACTATGACTCATGTGTGTTCAGATGATTCAGATCATCCACTTCAGATAAGTTTAGTTTGTTTAGTCATTAGGTCTGTTTCAGTGGATTTGTTTGTGTTCTATGGTAAAGAGCCCTGGATGGGGACAGTTTCTGGATCTAGATCTCCCAAAGATGCACTGCAGACTTTGGAGAAAGACAGACTATATTTATCAATCAATCATTCTAGATGATTTAAAAAAAAAACATTTTCTTAATACTTGTTTTTTCTTTTACACGTTTTAAGACTTTTTTTTTTTTTTTTTACACAACACAACTATTCACTTATGTGTTGCTTCATAGTAAAAAGTCCCCACTGGCTCTCATCTGGATTATTATAACAGCCTCCTCAAACTCGCCCACCCTTGCCCCATCTTCCTCCAAAGTCACTTGCAAAAGCCCCACTTTGATCATGCCACTGAATGCTCCAACATCTGTTCTGAAGCCCTTCCAGATGTGAACCAGGGTCTCTTCCCTGACCACTTTCAGCATCAGCTCCAGCACCTCTCAAGCACTCCTTGCTTGAGCCAGGTCTGTATAGGTGCAGCCTTCACCTCCTCTGTGTCTTTGCTCAGACTGTCCCCTCCCTGGCTACCCCTCCACCCCCTCCAAGTCTTCGTTCACCCACTGTCTCTACCGTGAGACCCCTCTTAATCTCTGCAGCAGCAATGGATTCTCCCTCTTCTGGACTCCCATAGAGCTTTGCAGCTCTCTGATAATATGCAGCCATCCACATGAAGTCTTGTTCAAATGAGTATTTATTTTACTAAAAAAAGTCATTTATAAATGGATTATCCCTATACCTATGAGTGGACAGAGTAAGTGAATCAGTGCTAGAGTTTTGTTTGAATGACTCAAGCAATTCATACTCTTTTAATCTATTGTCTTATGCCGCTTCCCCACTTCCTGTAATTGACAAATATTGTTATAAATGTAAAGTGTGTTCCCATTTTCTTATGGTTTATGGGCAGCTTCCTTGGCAGAGAATCTCCTTGGCATGCATTTCAGAAATAAGGAAAAATCATTTCTGTTTGTAGTCATCAAATGATTGTTCTGTACAGTCAGTAGAAATCAAAAGTACATGACATATGTGTGTGTCTTTTATTTGTGTGTTCTTCAGCCTGTGGAGGCCACATCCTCACCAGCTCTTTTGATACTATTTCCTCTCCATTGTTCCCTGCCAAGTATCCAAACAATCAGAACTGCAGCTGGATAATTCAAGCTCAACCTCCTTGTAAGTAACAAAAATAAAAAAGAAAAGGAACCCAGGGCAGATTGTGTCTGTGGGAAAGTCAGTCAATGAGTAATGTTCTTACCTCCTCAGTGCAAACAACCGATGGCCTTCCTCTTCTTTCGGAAGTCCCAATTCCTGATGTGCATGAGGACAAGCGTTTCCTAATCTGAGAAGGAAGTAATCTTTACTGTTTCTTCTTAATTATTATTTTTACTTTTTTTTAGTTTAAAAGCCTAGCAAAGAAACACACACACACACCCTGAACCAATAACCTTGCTGTATTGACAGTCATGTGAGATTGGGGGTAAGCAAAAATAATTGATAAATAAATCATCTTCGACACATGTGCTTGAGTGTGGTAAGTGCTCAAGACAGTTGCTGAGTGAATACGAGTAAATAAATAATAAGAACCATACACTGGAGAAACTCACAGTTGGAGAATACAGTGCCACGAGCCTATCAATCAAAGTGGACACCAATGATAAAACCTGGTCTCCCCTGCAATGAGTGCTCAAGACAGTTGCTGAGTGAATACGAGTAAATAAATAATAAGAACCATACACTGGAGAAACTCACAGTTGGAGAATGCAGTGCCACGAGCCTATCAATCAAAGTGGACACCAATGATAAAACCTGGTCTCCCCTGCAATGCATGCATTTTAAAAATGCCAGCACAGGCGTGGAAGAAACATTTAGTTAAGTGCTTAATTTTCTTTTTGGAATCATAGAATCTTATTGTCTGACATGGTAACAGTCTGGTGTTAAGAATGACTGTCCACATTTTACAGACAGAGAAAATGAGGAGAGGACCCCTAAAGACACAACAAAACAACTGCAAAGTGGGTGATCCTGGGGCCATTATGAACCCTGCTTCAGAGGACCCCGGCCCTTCTTTAAGGTTTTCAGGAAAAATTTACTATTTCAGACATAATGTGGGAAAGGCATTAAGTTCTCACTCCCCTCTATAATTAATGATCTGTGTAAAATAAGCTAGTCACTCAAGATGAAAACAAAACAATCTGTAATAAGAAGAGTTTGGCTTAAGTATTATCTAGCACTTTTCCTAGTGATGTTATAAGTTAACACATTGATAGGATCTCTGTTGGTGTGCATAAGAGGTGGAGGTCAGTGACGTAATCCTTAGCCCCCAAGGAAAGTTGCTGGCCAGCCAGAAACTGAGCCGTAGATAAAAAAGCCCCCTGCCTTGAGCCAGCAGTTTTGTGCCTAAGGATTATTTTCTAATGAGTTGTAAAGCATTTAGGTGAAAGATCTTACTGGTTCAAGAACAGCACAGGAAAAGATCCTATTCTGAAGATTAGGGACCTTGGAAAAACAACAAAAGGAAAACGTACCCAGGCACTTGCTGTTCTGCAAGTAATTCAAAGCTTTCTTGATAAATGACTCAGATCCTCTAGGGCACAAGCTCTGGCCCTAAAATAAAACTGAGTGTGCTAGGATGCTTGTGGCAGGGAGAAAAGAATGTCTTATTTCCAAGCACATGTAAAGAATCAAAATTTAGGGAAACAATTCTATCTAGAAAAATACTTATGAAAGGAACACAGCACTGGCTGATAAAAATGTTTTCTATTATCCAGCAAGACATTCCCAATAGTGCCTGGAATAAACCTATCCAGGAGTCCTCTTATTTACCACTACTAGCATAGCATTTCAGATTCTACAGACACTTGAAAACATCTGTTCTAGGACTGGCCATTTAGCTCAGTTGGTTGGAGTGTGGTACTGGTAACACCAAGGTGCAGGGTTCGATCCCTGTATAGGCCAGCTGCCAAAATCAGACAAACAAACGAAAAATAACTCTTCTGTTACTCTTCGAAGGAAACCTTTTGGCATGGAAGTTTTCCCCTTCCCCCTCTTTACCGACTCCACCCTGTGCAAATCTGCTGAATTGCTGCTTGCCTGGTAGAGAACCCTCGTGTGAAATTGTCAGTACAATCTCTTTCCCACTACATTTTGTTTGCCAGTACTTTATTAAATAGTCTTCTCTTTTTTCTTACAGTCAATCACATCACCCTCTCCTTTACTCACTTTGGACTTGAAAGCAGCACATCGTGTACTCACGACTTTTTAGAAATTTTGGATGGCGACGACTATGACGCACCCCTCCGAGGTACTGCAGTGCTCACTCATTTACGCCGTGGTCTTGGCGGTGTTTTATTTATATACTTACATATTTATATACTGCCATTCAAGGTTAGAATGTTTACAATAAACAGGAGGAGCAGCATAAGCCAAATAAAGATAATTAGAGGGTAAGAAAGAAGGACTTAATGTGGAATTGAAGAAACTCAGCTTGTTTATATTCAAAGACATAAGTTTCTGTATATGTTTTTTAAAAAATGTAAAAGTTGCAACCACTTTAGATGGTAATGAAACGCAGTCCATTCCAGCATTAGATAGTATTCTGTCAGAAATTTCTTATTAATATTTGACCACAGTTCTTACGTTCAAATTGAACATGTTTCTTTTCGTTTTGTCCTCAGTGGAAGCAAAATAAATTTAATTAAATTGTTCATTTATTAAATTTAAAATGTGTTATTTTGTTTGTTAGATATCCCAGTAAAACTTGAGAGTTGCTGTCTAGTTTCTGAAATGCCCATCAGGAAAATAATCTCAGGTCATTTAAACTTTCTCCTGGAATTTACTAAGTTTTGAGTTTTGCCATACAAACTTCTTGTCCTACGCTAGAAGCTCCATCAGAGAAGAGACTTTGCTTAATGCTTTATTCCCAGTGCCCAGAGCAGTGCCTGAGACAATAGTGGGCAATCAGTGAATGCACTTGATCCTCTGTGCTCACTTGTGCCTCCTTGTATTGCCTGAGATATTTGTCAATAAGCAAATAAAAAATCCTTGTGACCAAGGATAAGGGTGTATTATTTAACAGACACTCATATAGCTCTATTGTGCTGAGTGTGTTATAAATATTCTAAGTATGTTATAAATAATAACTCAGTCTTCGTACTCTTATGATACAGTTTTAATTATTTTCAACATCACTTTTTTTCAAGTGGGGAAATTGAGGCACAGAGCACTTAAGTAACTTGCTTCGGGTTACGTAGCTAGTAAATGGCAAAGCCAGGAGTTGAGTTCAGGTTGTCTGGCTCCAGCATCCACACTTTTCTCTGCTATAATATATTGACTTTAAGTATTAGCACATTTATTTACCCAAGTCCTTACCGTGCTGCAGATATTTGCTTTAGTTACGTTTGCAGCCAGGTCATGTAAATTTTTCCTCTGGTCCTATTGTTTGCGATCATATTTATGAGTTATCTCTCCTATGCTTGTATTTATACTTTATTTTTATTTCTCGGTCATTGTCTCAAACGCTGACCCTGATTTAAATGGTTCTAGTAGTGATTTCTTCTATTTGCTTTGGTCTCCTATAATTCTAGCAGAGATGTCTCCACTAGCAATAAAGGCCTCTGCCATGTCATCATTCACTCTTCTTGTCATTATCTCCACTATTCAGGTCGTTACTGTGGCACCTCCATGCCCCATCCCATCACATCCTTCAGCACAGCCCTGACACTGAGGTTTGTCTCTGATTCTTATGAAAATTCTCATGGTTTCCACGCTACATATGCCGCATCATCATCAGGTAAGAAATGTTGGCAAATGGCCCTAGTAAGGGAACAGAAATGTGGTAGAAATCCTTGGTTTGTTATTTGGGACTGTTTTACCTTCAGAGTTGGAAGGTGGTTTCCTGAGATCACTTGTGTGCCTTACCTTACCTTCTTCCCACTTAGGTGAACATGTACATTCTAGAAGTGGGGAGAACTGGTTGGAAACCTGGCTGTCTTTTTAGCCAAACCCCATGACCTCAGATGACTTGCTTACCAGGGTCTTGGTGTTCTCCTTTACAGCATGTTTGTTAAGGCAGCCCCTGGCTGGCAGTGTTTGATGGCATCTCTTATGGACGAACAGCCATGTGGCTGTTTCCCAGACCCCCCAGCCTTGCTGCTGGGCCCAGGCAGGGTCTGGCTGTTGACACAGATGGCAGGACAGATGTGGCACATGGGGAGGAGAAGGAAGAAGAGCCACTCAGCCCTGGGGTTCTTCGTTGGGAGAGATCTATTGGCCAGCTGCCGGCTTCCTCCTTCGTAGTAGTCAAAATCTATAGGACACCTAGAAGATTGGTGTGTGTGTTTCAGTGTTCTCCTGAGAAGGACAAGCTGGCTTACTGCTTTCTCCCTAGGCCAGGACTGAAGATAGTCCTGCTGCACGTGGTTGTAGGATTAAAAACAAATCCTTTGTTACTCAAAGTTATAGTTCACAGGGAGAAAAGGCTGTTAGAAAAGACACTGTGGCAGGTCCTTCTCATCTACCACACTGCATGGCTCTTGGTTTTCAGTTTTCAGACTCTTACCCTTATTATATATGACATAGTTGTTTTTTTTTTTTTTTTTTTTTTTTTTTTTTTTTTTTTGATGCAAGATAGAAATACTTTATCCTTTGATGCTGATAATGGCTCTGGTGTTTTTTCTCCTTTATCTTATGGTGTCTTGCATTTGATCTTTGCTCTGATGTTCACTTTATATCTCTTTTCTTCCAGCTTGTGGTGGTAACTTCCACATGGCTGAAGGCATCTTCGACAGCCCTGGCTACCCAGAAGTTTATCCCCATAATGTGGAATGTGTCTGGAACATTGTCAGTTCCCCTGGCAACTGGCTCCAGCTGTCTTTCATGTAAATCCTTTTTTATGGTGTATTGTTTCAGTGCTGATGAATCTGCAGGAAGGGAGCACAGTTACTAATAGGATGGACGCCTAACAGCACCTGTGTCCAGGCAACTGTTATAGACAATACGGTGGGAACTATAGGAAGTCTTTTCTCAGATTTCCTTTCTTTTAAATATAGTTCGGGTTATAAATAGCATTAAGATTCTCTCAAGAATAGTTCTAGAGTCCAGCCTAACATTACCAGCAGTACATTCTTGAGCTCTTGTTAAATAAATTTATGGAACACTTCATGTCTAGAGAATAGTAATTTTATCTTTTCTTGAAACTAAGCACATTTAGGTTCTTCCAGAGAATCACCAACATTCTTTCTTTTAGCAGAGTCCTCCCATCTCAATTAAGCCTTCTTCACTCATGTCCCTTATCCCTGTCCCAACCCATCTTTTCTTCTGCTCCTATCAGGAGAATAATTTGGGAAGCTTTTTAGAACTTAGTAGTTGGTGTATAAAATCATTTTCATGTTCTTCATTGGATTGTAACACTTTTTGAATATGGACTGTGGATGTGGAATTGACAGTAGGATCCTATCACATTCTGAGTGGCCTTAGACTAAATTAAGCAGCAATCATAGTATCTCCCAGAAGATGTAAAAAGCACGTGGTAAGTGAAATGGGATGTTTTAACCCATAAATAGATAGGTACCTGTGACATGCCACACTGGTGATTAGCAAATATTGAGTGATACTACTGTCGTATTTAAATTGTCATCCTGAATTAAAAATGGTTTGCTATACTATATTAAATACTATTGGACTGTGGCTGGGACTGCTAATTCTGTTTTGAAGAGAATGTAAGTAACTTACTGTTGAGAAGGAGGATTGTTTTGAGGACACTGACCTGTTGATTCAAAAGTATTTTTCTTCCTCAGTGACATGCCAATCTGTGCATCGGGAACTGATTACAAATATGGGACAACAGTCCTAGTCCTGGACCAAGTTCAAACATCTCAGGTTGGGTTCCTTACTCCACCAATGTTCAGGGTACACGTGACATTGAGTCAAGGCAAAGTCACGGTCATTGTCCTTATGAAAAAGTCCAGAGTCCTTCTCATGTCTTACTGTGCCTCATAATTGCTGAACAAATGGCTTTCTTTTTGGTCTTTTTCCTCTTGGTTTCTATCACATTCATATTATTGACCACTCTGACATTTGGTGGTTGCCAGGAACTGAGCTAGGTACCAAGGATGTTTAAGACAGATAAGATCCCAGTTTTTGACAAATTATCAAGTTAACATCAAGGAACTATTTAATTAAAACCTAAAAAGATGCATTTCATCTATAGAGGGATAAAAATAGCAAGTTTCTAGGAACACTGTTAGGATTAAACAAGATATTTAGTTTTCAACGTATAGCACAGCGCTGGTGCAGAGCAGATGTTCAGTGAATGTTAATTCTCTCAGTCTTTCCATTTCTAAGATATCTTCTATGATATTTCCCAACTAAACCCAAATAGACTACACTGGGCTCTTCTTGTAGAGGATGTGAAGTTACAAACACAGAAAGCAAGTTTCATCCATTGTACTGTTTAATGGACGTTAAATCCTAATTACTGTATAAAAAAAACTTAATGACTCAGCTATTTCCTTTCTCAGCTTTAAGAAGTTAATTTTGATTTCTTTGTGTTCATACCCGAGTTTTATGTTTAAAATGAATTTCATAGAATGCAAGATGCTTCTTTTTATGCAGAAGATAATGAAGGGCTTTATGGCAAGGCCTGTGAGTTATTTCTGCCCTGGTCTAAACTGTATCCAGATGGATGCTTAGAGACATTTCCCTGGGGTATGTGAGAAGCATATGAGAAGCATATGAATCCCAGCAAGTTTTGAAGCATGGGGTTTGGATTATGGACACTGTGGTGTAATTGAATAGGGAGCAAAACTGAAGAAATTCTGGTTGAATCTGCAACAAAAAGGAGGGGGAGAAACAAAACCTAAAAAGGAGTTTTTGTGGTTTTTTTCTTTTTTGCAAAACATTTAAAAGAGTTAACAGAAGTAGTATTTTATGCTTGCAAACTGCTTTTAGAAAGTGTTTGGCTTTGGTTCAAGAATCAAAATAAGATAATGAGAAACAGTGATTGTACTATTTTTGTTCCACATCGTATTTTACTAACAGATTTTAGCCAAAGGGTAGATTTGCTTATAAAATGTACAGCCCTAAAACAAAGACTTCCAAGAAAAATAAAGCTTTTTAAAAAGTTCAACTCGATTCTTATAAGTATTGTCCCACTATCATTTCTAGTGAAACGTCTTTTCTGCTATTTAGTGCTGGATTTTACTAGCCTTGTACTTAGAAAAGACCTTCACGTTGTAATATGGACCCTTGGACCAAACGTTAATGTGCATATCGATCACCTAGGATCTTGCTCAAATTCGCATGTTAATTCATTTGGCTGGTAGGGCCTGTTTCTTTATTTCACACAAGCTGTCAGGGGGTGCTGCTGTTGCTGGACTGTGTACTGCACTTTGAGTAGAACAGCTTGAGAGGTAATTTCATGTAATTCATCTTCTAAGGAAAGTGATCTCCCCTTCTTCACTTTCCACTTTCTGAGAAGCAGAAGAAAAATTTTAACATATTTCACATTGTTGATAAGATTATGGGTGATAAAAATAAGCCTGAATTTAAGCAGCAAACATGGCGTCCATTCTGAAAATGGATTTAGAACAACTCCTTGACAAAAATAATTGTAGATATTGTGACTGTGTGTATTATAAAGCATTGGATTGTCAAGGAGATGTTGGGAGTAAGGACAAATGTATACTTTTCTTTTTCTGATGTGGATATTTCTGATTTCTTTTGCTTTGCAATTATCTGTCACAGCTTGCTGCTGAAACAATGTCTGGTATATGGTCCAGATGGGCTATACTGTAATGACCCACATTGTAGTATTGTGAGAGCCACCAACTCACTGTTCTGGTTGGAGACCTAGCAGTGCTGGTATCTGGCTTGAGAAGCTAGAGGTAGAGCAGAGCTGACCAATTGGTTGGCTCCTGAGCTCTGGTCGGCAGTGACCACTCAGAGGTGTGCCTGACATATTGCTTCTGTAGGCTTGAGGTGGCCAGAGGCTCCTGGCTGGTTTTCTCTAAGCATCCTAACCATTAGCTGAGACAGAGCTGCAAGGGAGCGCTATTCTCACCATAACGTGAAACCTTGCAACACATAATGCTGGGCATTGATGGAAAGATTCACACAATACAAAAGTACATTTTCTATCCTTCAGATGTGTTTTCCTTCCTGAGAGTTCCTTCCTTATAGTCTTACTGGGTCATTCTTTCTTTCTTCCTTTCTTTATCTTGTGTTTTCTCTTTGCAACAAAATCTCCTTCCAATAACTTATGGAAAAAGAACAGTTTGCACTCACTTCCACTCTTTTTTTTTTAATCATTAAATTACTTTTTTCTTTAAAAAAATAATTTTAAATAAACAAAATATTTCAGGGCAGCAGAGGTTCTCCATCAAATCCCTTTACCTCCTCATCACAGAGGTAACCCATATCTTGAATTTTATGTGTATCATTTCTATTCATATTTTTATACTTTTGCCATATATGTATATATCCATACACACTGCATCAACTACTACTTTCTGATTTACATTTTACATAAATGGAATCGTACTTATTGATTGGACTGGAATTAAATTGCATTTACAAAATAATTTTGGGAGAAATATCTTCTTTACAACAGTGAGTCTAGAGTCACTATCCTTGAACTTGGGATATCTCTCCATTTATTTAGGACTTCTTTTATGTCCATTCCTACAATTTTATATTTTTCATACAGGTCTGATAGATCTTTTGTTACATTTATTCCTAGGCACCTTATTTTTTTTGTTGCTATTGAAAATGGTATTCATTTTTAAATTGCAGATGTAACCTGGCTGCCCTCCCTAAAATAACCCCTTATCACACTTTATTTCTTTCTCCAAGAAATTACCACTACTTTTCTATATACCTATTTATTTGTTTATTATCTTTCTCTCCTTCTAGAATATAAAGGGAGGAACATTGTCTTCTTTCTTTGTTGTCCAGTCCCTAATCTCTATGACAGTGTCTGGCAATATAATAGAGAGTCAGAAAATATGTGTTGAATACTTTGACTAAGTTACAATTTCTAAATTTTTGCTTGTTGTTATAAGGAACTCCTATTGATTACTGTAGCTTGTTATCTAGAACCTTTCTTTTCTCTAGAATGACAGAAATTTTTGTCTCTCTTATTTACTTCTGTGTCTAGAAGAGGGACTGACACATTAAGGTGTTCAATAAATATTTATTGAATGAATGAGCTCTCTTGAATATTGATTTAGCTCTTCTTTTCCAGTCCTTACAAGCTTTATTTCACTTTTCCTTGTCTTATTGCATTGGCTAACCCTTCAGTACAAGTTGAACAAAAGTGATGAGAATAGGCTTCCTTGTGTTATTTCTGATTTAAAGGATATGCTTTAAATTTTTTACCTCTCAGTATATTTGTCATAAGATTTTGGAGGCATTTATGAATTTTTACAATGTTTGGGTGTTGAGTTTTATCAAATGCTTTTCTGCACTTGTGTGTCCCAAAATTAGTTTATAAATATATTTTTGCATCTATTTTTCTCCTTCAATCTTTTTTTGTCATGAATTGCTCTCATAGATCTTCAAATGTTAAATTGTGAATCTGATTGATTAAGACTTATGAATTTTACAAATTGATGAATTCATTGTGCTAATATTTTATGTAGGATTTTTCTTCTATATTCTTAAGTGAGATTGACCTAAACTTTTTCTTTCTTTGACCATCCTTGACTGGTTTTGCTCTCAAAGTTATACTAACCTTCTGAAATAAGATGGAAAATGTCCTCTTTTCTATTTTTTGGTGCAGCCTGTATAAGATTGAGGTTGGGGCCATTGATTTATTGAAGCTCATTTTTACTCATAATTTTTTTTTGGTTTTTTAAAATTTGTTTCCTTCAATTAGTTG